TTCCGACCTCTAGGGAGGATGGGGTGATTCGCCCTCTGCAACCCCATTTGGGTACACAATTGCATTCGGTACATCATATTAAACTTGTTGCTATTTAGGGAAATTATTCCAAAAAATTTGGATCATAGCATTTCGGGTTGATTATGTAGGGCACACTGTTCAATGACTGACTCATTTTGTGGCTTACGAAAGCCATTCTGTTGAAGAGAGATATGGTAGTGAAGATCAGAAAGAATTTATCTCTATCAGAGCAACTGTTGCAAGGGACTTTTCGGCAGGATAAATATGTTTCAGGACAGGACGGCATCAACGATTAAACAAATAAACCGGAATTATGCAGAAGGAATGCGAAGAAGCTGAAAACTGCGCTGAGGAATGCAAAGCTCACAGGAGTGTTTGTGTCCAAACTGAGCCTTCTTCAGTTTCTCTCTTTATTTCCGTATTCATTTGTGTATTTTTTATTTCTTTAACAGCGGTATCGCATTTCATCGAAGGTTCTGCACCGACCCGGAATCGAGCGCACACCCTCTGAGCACATCAGATCCTCAGAGCCTAGCGCTACGCCAGTACACTGTCGTCCCGTTGCAAGATCATTTCAAATTTATTTATTTGAATTTTTTCTCATCTGCCATCACCTATTTATGCNATAATCCTAGGATTAGTTTACCCGCACCAGGCTCTCAGTCGCAGAGCAAGAAGGAATTCAGCAGGATGAGCAATTGAGAACTGTGTGCATTGTTGTCGAACGTGATCATTTTGTAAATGATGTAATGAGAGTATTAAACACCAACAAGATTTATTGAAACTAGTATCCAGGTTTGATAACATTCAGAAGATGCAAATGGATGAAGAAACAAAGAGTAATGTGAGTGTGGAACGAGTAGTTTGGAGTGCATAACTGAAAGCGAATATTCAGCTGATCAGAAGAGATAGGGATTGACCACTCCACCAAATCGGATGCTTGGCTCGAGCCTTGTCCATTTCTTCGGGCGCATCAACTGAGTGCCGGAGTTCAATCCATCATCATCATAAACCCACATTGGATAACGGTCAAGTGCAAGCACGGGATTTGCTTGAATTGGAGAGGATGCAAAGAGCACTGAAATTATGCGAATGTTTGATCATTATGATTGCTTCGAGTGATGATTATTATTGTTCAAATCAAGCAACCAATTAATGTTGTTCGAGAATTTTCCAGCTTCACGAGATCTTCTGCAATTAAATACGACAATTTCATGTCATGGAGTTATTAGGATTGTTCTCACGATTGCAGACAGAATTATCTGTCTCAGTAGATCATCCGCTGGAATGTGCAATTAGGTGAATGCAATTTTGCGAAAAGAATTCAAGAAATGAGGTTCCTTTAAGCGGATGCAAACAATTTCATAGGCAGTAGCATGCCAAAGAATAGTGAATTTCGATCATCGAGAACTTCCGTTCTGAAATTTGCGAGCACAATTCTTCACATTTTCATGATGCATTTGAACCACGAGGTGACAAGTGAAGAATTCGTTGAAATTTAGGATTTAACTCACCAACACTGAGAAGGATGGATGCGATTAGATGCAAGACCATCATCTTGAAAAGCGCAATCGTAATATCTTCTTGAAACATGAAACATTAAAGAATATTTAGTTAGTTCGACGCCAAAGACGATTGAGCGATGCGTGAAATGAACACATAATAGTTAGATGTACGATTGATGCGTCTCAACGATAATTATCTACCCAAGACAACGGTAAATTGATGCAACATAACTGTATTACATTTCGAAGAACATTACCGTTTAAGAATGAAAGTAACGCAATATCATCTGTGCCCTATTGAGTGTTTAAAATCTTTTGCAGTAATTACGCTTTTTTTCACAAAGCAATGTGAAACCTTTCTAGATCGCATACAATCGCACGAATAACTTACCATATTTACAGCGTACAAGCTATTCATTAGGAGACGCGTTCAACAAATGGTGCATGATTACTGTTCGCCTAATGACAGTAACTAACAGCTGTTATGAGAAAGAACAATTCTGCGGATCACATCGAATTGTGCATCAAATGACCAATTATTTAACTGTTGCATTCGTGAACCAATCGAATTTCAATATTTTTAATTTAAGATGAGCGTTGAATTGATAAAGAGAGTCGACAAAAAGAATTTGTCAGTTTGTCAGTTTATCAGTTTTGTTAAGTACTTAACGAGCACGATGATATACAATGGTATGGTAATCAGAATGGGTAATTGCTCTCGGAAGCCAAATACGTTCACAGAAACAGTTGAAACTTGTTATTATTGCTGCAGTGGTACTCAATCTATTGAATTCTATTTGCAAAAATTTGGTTTGTGAAATGAAATTTGGATGTGACATGCAATTTGCATGTATGACTAACCGTTAAGTGATGACGTGCTGCAGTGACTGAAAATCTATTTTATAATGTGTGTACTAGAAGACGTCGTCGCTAAAATTACCTTTCAATCTTATATTCTTTTGGGTTCGCTAGCCATTTTTTGCTTCTAACTAATGCTCCGAGTGATTTCTTTTTTGAAATATTCCGTTACAATTGCTCAATAAAATTCGCTTTCATCGAGTGATATCCCACAATCATCTCTAAAACAGTTCGTAACGCTCTTGGCATTAACCGTTTGATCAGATGTTCAGCTGGAATAAATGGTATAAGTCGGTCAGAAGCTCAGGAACTTAACAAATCAATCATAACGGGTTCAGTGATTCATAGTATGAGTTTGTAGTTTTTTTTTAAACCGAGAAACTCCATCTTACATTGAAACAATTAATCGGAAAGAATCAGGAATTTTTTCATGCGTTGTTTCCAAAAGGGTGAATGGAAGAAGAAAAGAACGAAGTATGTGGAAACAAAATGAGGAAAGCTGATTGTGAGATGTTTTCTCTTATGATTTCTACGTTCATCAGTTTTTAGGATGCATTATTGAAGTAAACACAGACGAATGGAAAAAAATGAATGAGAATCTTCAATAGTGATTTTGTCATTTGAAACAAATTGCCTGCTGAAATAAGACAGATATGAATGGATTGAAACATGAAAATGAACATTGATATATCCCTCAGATTATGGATATATCAATGTTTATCTGCGATTTGGATTGTGTTTGAATGTACGTTTCCGCGGTGATCATATTGTCTCTGATGATGATGATGATGATGATATGATTGATGTGCATCTCTAAACTGCATTATTTCATCAATAAACACTTCGGAGCACAAAAAGTTTTTCTGATGAGTATGTGCATAATANTATTTCTTCGAGAAAAAATGTTACATTTAAATCTCCTCGATCGTAAACGATAAGAATTCTGTTCCATTAGTTTCATGAACAGCAATCAAAATCGGCGATCTAAAAGAATTGGCCTGAAATATGAAGTGATGTCCATTAGGATAATGACCCTTCAATCATGAACTGCTTTCTATTGACAATAGCTCAGCAAATGGAAATCAAGACACAAAAGACAATAATTCCATCACAAGCCAAAAATGATCGGATGCAATTTCGCAGTTGCTAAGTTCATAAAAAATTGCTATTCAAAACTTTAAAGATGCTTCCAGGGGATGCTGCGTTTGGCTCCACACGGAGATGTTGTTGAGAATGAAACGAAATCAATAAAACTGAATGGGTTAATTTTTTCATCTGAAATAATGCGTTCATATCTTCGGAATTTGAGAATGAGCGCAAAAATGAGTGAAATGGCATATCATGATCTCCACAAATGGACGTTCTGAGCACTCAAAGATCGACTCTCTAGGGCAGACAATGTACGATCGTCATGGTCGTAAGCACTTGAAACCTAATGAGGAGCATTCAGTTCATTAAAGAGATACTGCTGAACAGGGAGGGTGGAGCTTGGAGCGTGAGAGGTCCTAAACAAACCGCTGAAACGAAGAAGCAGAGCGCACCGTGAAATTTATCACCCATTTCTGTAACAATTATAGGCTAATATAGAATCAATGTTGATTCATCGTTGCTTATTTTGCGATCAGTTCAGCTTAATTGGCAATAAGTACGCAAGTGCAGCTCACTTTCGTGCAATGAGACGAGTTTTCACGTTAAATTAACGTTTTTATGGCAAAATAATTAACGTTAAAAACATATATTGAATATCATGGAGTACTTCATGTTAGATTCAGCATTCTCCCAATCCGCTGCATTCAACTGATTGTGAGGGATAAATGATCCATTTGACCACTTGAGGGCTACAAAAATGCAAAACTTGACGACTTGGTGCGTAAGAAAATACAAAGTGATGCCTTCGGGAATCACATGTGTCATTTACTGATATTTGAGTAATTACTAGCAGAAAATGTTCACTTTGTGAAGTAAGTACTATGTAGCCACACCTCGTCGATACTACTACTGAGTCGATAATCTTATTTGATCAAAAAGTTTTTCCATTATTTTAGTCTCTAATTTCAGATCTGTTTTGAAGATCAACTCAATCCAAAGAGTTCAGTGAAGCTTGTACATTTAATGGTTCTTTTTATCATTGCGTCTAATATCGCGTTGTGTACTCATGTGAGTGGAACTGAGAAGTTCCGTGTAAACAAGTTGTGTACTGTATTGACATATCGCACAGCTGATTAATTTACTTCATCGATACATTTAATGGTTCTTTTTATCATTGCGTTGAATATTGCGTGGTGTAGTTGTGTGAGTGGAGCTGAGAAGTGGAGCTGAGAAGTTGAGAAGCAACAAGTTGTGTATTTTATTAACATATCGCACAACTAATTAATCTACTTCATCGATGCAATAGTCATTTTAGTGATGTTTGGGTTATTCTGTTAGCATAAATTAATATGATTGTTCGGCTGTTATGTTCTTACTCAGACAATAGATAATGACGAATCCAAATGAAGCTCATGCACAAATACTAGCCATTATCGCTTCCTCAATGAGTCGTTTCGATCGGAAGCAACCTTTAATGAGTGATTTATTCTCATTAAGAAGCATTCAACACTTCCAGCAGTGCCAAATTAGGGAAAACACGTATTGTTTCCAAACGAATGACTGCCTTCGAGGTGTCGTCATTAGTTTATCATTTAGTGAATCTTTGCTGTAGCCTACTGTACATTCATCATAACAACAATAAACAAACATTAACATTTTGTTCGGAATTGGCACACGGCATCTATGGTATATTTGAAGCGGCAATAAGGAACAAAAGTAGAGATAGAATCTATTTTCAAACTATCAAACTAGTGATTAAGCTCATGTCGTTTACGACAGTCGAATGTCTGTCCACAAAATCTAAAAAAAGCTAACTAAACATCATCGTAAATTTTGAACACACGCAATAAATCAATTCCGGATTCTATGATGGGACCTTTTTCGAATACCCTGGTGAACAACCACAGATCAACATGATTTTAGACATAAGAAAGTATTCTCTGCCTGGATTTCGGATGGAAAATGCCACATTGTGTCGGATTTACATGAAGAGCGAGGTTCAAGATCTCTCTTTCAAAAGCTAAGATCTGCATGAAAGCTTTACTACGTTGCCTGTTACGTTCACATCAACCGAAAATGGTAACTATCCTCCAACGTAGTGAATTTTTGATATTGCACCTGTTGATGTTATCTGATGATATTATCTCAGTTGTCGCAAGGCAATGTTCATTGAATTTACAAACACTGATCCGTGAATTTGCATGAATTAAGAAGTCTTGATGCAATCGAGCTTTTCAAGACGATTCCTGCAGTCAAAGCTGACATGGGCAAAGTGTTTAAGAGAGTGATTGTATACAAAATATCTCTGGTTGAATGTTCCTTAATCATGAATGCATATTTTCAGCTGGAATTGATGCAAATTTAAGCAATTTAACGAACGCATGCTTTTTGAAGTCTTAAATGAAATGGAAAGCATCACTCAATGGTCAATTGTGCAGACGAAATTTATTCGACGTCTTAAAGTTCGAGTCGTTTCAGATGAGAAAGATGCACTTTTATGCAGAATGAAAGAAGTTATGAAGCGCTTATTCAGGTGAGTAAATGTCAAGAAACGCAATGCTTTCGTTGATATATGGTAGTATTTTTAAGTAAGTGCTAAGAAAGGATTGAATTTGATGCGAAACAGTTTCGAAAAATGAACATCAACGATTCTCTTGAGCAGTATCAATCGCGTCTAGCGATATGTGAACAAATATGAACCGTGTTGAGCAAACAAACTGAATGAAAAGCTAAAATGGTTCGGTCAACAAAAACAGATGCTTTTCAATGTGGTACTTTACGGACGATAGTGACATTCGTGTCGAAGACGAAGTGGTAGAAGAGAGCATCTGTCAGAAGAGTCAGCTCTATTTAAAGCATCCAGCTTCTGTACCTTGTTCAGTCCTCATAGGCTGAAGTAACCTACGACCCGCCCCCATCCTAAAAGATGATTCGCAAAATTGAGCGCTTCAGGAAATAAATTGCGCTGAAGTTCGAGGCATAATTAATTACAAGTGCAATTGCCAATGCCATGTAATTGGAACCTTTTTTCAGAAAAATTGGATTGATTGCTCATCCATAATCATTTGAAGCATCATAGACCTAATTGCATGACAGGAAATTAGT